TTAGGGGTCTATATTTCGGTCCAATCAAATACGATTTTGTTGATTTTGGTGTCATTTATCAGCTCGAGGAGCTCTTTCGAATGAGTTATTATTTAAAAAATTGAATTTCCCACCCCAAAATTGTGCTGTGGTTTTTCGTTTTTCGGGGACTTATATCTCAGTCCACCGTTCGGAAAACTGTTCGACTCAGCTTATCGAGACGAATCGAATGGTATGGGTTTTGTATCGAACTACAGCCTTACCTGTCCACACATTCATGAAAAAGAGGTTTTTTGATTCTCTGATCAAAACAAGTAGTAGTTCCATTAGAATTTTGTAAATGAAGTTTACACCAATTCATCTTGTAATAAGGGGTTGGAAGCAGAAATGTTCCCTTTTCCATCAATTCAAAACATAAATGATTATAACTTAAATCTCGATTCAAATTTGCTATATAAGGCTCTCCATAACTAAGAATGGTTTGTATAAATATTTTTTTAAAATTGAAATTCTTAATTTTGTATACAGCTTAATTTTTTTATTACATTCGTACCACGCTATAAAATTCAGCATTGGATTGAGAAATTAGTTCTATTATACAGTATACGTCAAATCAACTTTTATGCGTTCAATCAGACTTCATACGTTCACTCAAATACATTTTTAATTTGAGGTTGGGTTCCGTAAGTTTTTCATGTTTGGGATATTACAAGATTTTTTATTATTACAAGATTTTTATTACAAGATTTTTTTATACGAATGTAATAAAAAAATTAAGCTGTATACAAAATTAAGAATTTCAATTTTTAAAAAATATTTTCACAAGCAATTCTTAGTTATGGAGAGCCTTATATAGCAAATTTGAATGAGATTTAAGTTATAATCATTTATGTTTTGAATTGATGGAAAAGGGAACATTTCTGCTTTTAACCCCTTATTACAAGATGAATTGGTGTAAACTTCATTTACAAAATTCTAATGGAATTTTGAAATTTTCGAAATTTCTGAAAGTTTTAGACAATTACTTAAAATTTCAGAAAAACGATTATAACTTTCAAAAATTTCGAGGGAGAGGGTAAGGAAGAACGGTACCAGACCCGGTTGGCGTAGGTACTGAACCTAAAAAACTGTAACGGGATCCAACACCACATTAAGAATGGAAAGAAAAATCCAAATTTTTTATTGGAAGTATAATGTGTGATTAAACGTATAAAAGTCGGTTGGACGTATATTGTGTACTAAAGCCGACAAATTTGTATTTTAGTTATCTTAAATAGAGGGTATCATTAAGAAAGTTTGTTAATCCCAAAAATAAGAATATTGTGGTACACAAAATTAAATATTCCCAAATTTAAAGTTTACATTTTTCCATCTCCAAAAACAAAATAAACAATAGCTATAATTAAATTATTTTCTAAAAGTTGTTTAGTAATTTCCCCAGGTATTTCAAGAATTGTGAACTCATTCAATTGATTATCACTCTCAAGAACCAGATTATCTGGAACTAAATATGAATGCCCATCTGGCTTAAATTTAATTGCAATCATCTAAAAAATAAAATTATCCAAATTTTTTATTGGAAGCCTGCGACAAACGCTGACATTGCTCAGTCTCGGCTTTGCTCACACCAGGGTTGTCGTTTCCAAACCACTAAAATGGGGCGCAGCCACTCAAAAATAGGGCAAAAATAGGGCGAAATCAGTCAAAAATATGGCAAAAAATAGGGAATTATTTTAAAAAACATAAAAATAATTAAAATTTTAAATAAATAGCCTTATTCCGCATGTTCTCCACTAGTTTTAACTAAATTTCTAAAAAACAGAATAGTTCAGATTAGAGACCGGACTGGAAATGTCGTACGAGAATCGTACAAGATGTCTCGAATCTCGAAAAACTGAAATTTTTATCGTACGACAATCATACGAGATGTCTCTAAAAATCTCGATTTTGATTCTTGAATCAAGTTTTTCTTCAGAAACCGATAGATTTCTTCCATTTTTAGCAAAATTTTGAGAATTTTGAAAAGTTATAAAGCCAAATTTTTAGAAATTATGAAGACCAATAGGAGAGATTTCTATTTTTTCAGCGCCGCAGGCGAAAATTTTGGGAATTTTGATGTCCAAAAGTCAGATTTCTTTCTTTTTTCGCATTTTATTTACAAAATCCTAGAAAATTTGAAAAATATTACAAAATGTTAAAAATAGGGCAAAATATGGCAAAAGTTAAAAATAGGGAAAAAATAGGGCGAAAAGATCAAAAATAGGGAAAATCCCCTATAAATAGGGTAAAACGACAACCCTGGCTCACACAAATGCAAGACTTTCTCATTATACTTTCTAATTTATCCTTATACATACATAGATCGGAAATTTAAATAGGGAAAAATTTTTTAAATTTTATTTTTAAAAATTATTTGGCTATATTCAACTCGGGCAGGGTGACCCTTTTACCCTATTTATAGGGCATTTTCCATATTTTTGACCTTTTCGCCCTATTTTTGCCACATTTTGAGTGTCTGCGCCCTATTTTTGTGGTTTGGAAATGGTCACCCTGTCTTGGGCCATTAATCCTTACTAGTGTTATTCACGGTACAGTATTACGGCGGTATTTTTACCGAAATACCGATACCGATACCGAAAAAACGCGTTTGAATAACACTAATCCTTACAATCATTCCAATCTATCCTTAAAGTATAATTAACTAAATTATATTTTCTCCGACCGATGGATATAATTTTTAAATTATTTTTAAAAATTAAATATAAACAAACATTAATTGGGGAGATTTTCACAACTTGCTCTATTTGTTCCATAATATCTTTAACGGTTAAAAATGGATACGAACTGTTAAAGCTAAAACGGGTAATTTTACGCATCGGATGTTGAGTAATGAATTTTACAGTGTATTTACGTGGTCTAAAAAATATAACTTTAATTATTTACAAAATTAAAAAAATTACAAAGGAACACTGAGCGAAACAGAAAGAAAAGGTTCATATGAAATATCAACAAAACCACAATTTGGAGCTGTACATTTTATTTCATTTCGGAATTGACCTCTGAAAATTAAAAAATTATTACAAAATATATTTATTCCATAAAGAGATAAACAATCATAGAATATGCAAGACTGAAGCACAACCGATGTGCATCGGTATGTCAATTATTTTTATCACTTATTTTCTTTCTACAAATGCGGCCACAACAATTTTAGACCCGGGAAGATTTTATTTAGCGCGTATCAATGTTCAAAAACAAGCTCTACAATTACCGAATCCAATGGGCCCTATGTAGTGAATGATTTGGGAAGTGAGTGATATTTGGTGTAGTAATTTAGGCAGTAAATATTTTTAAAAATTGAGTAACACTACTAGAAGAATAATTATGCGTAATCCAGCGTTAAATGAATATATTAATGTTAATTTTTCAATTTTGATCGCGCAGAGCAAGTCAAAAATAAATTTAAAATATTTTTAATCTTACTGAAATAACTCTAAGACAGTTGATTTTTTATCTTCTTTATTAGAATTGCTACATCCAATCCGTTCAATATTCGAGTCCATGCTCCATTTCTTATCATAATATTTCTCCAAATTTGAATCCAAAATTTCTCGATTAAGTTTATTTAATAACCAAATCATACATTCATGAGAATCCTATTTAGAAATTTAAAAATAATTTATAGAAAAATTGTCTTTAGTAAGATATCCGTCAAAGTTGTTTGCGGTAAATTTACTCTGGGTTTTGTTCTTCCTTTCTATTTGAAGTCCTGATATTAGACAGTCTGTTAATCTTAGTAAAAATTTATAGAAAAACTCAAAGTCGAAACTCATTTTTAATAGTGCTAGGCAAATGGATTTTTCCGGTACCGGTAGTACCGAAAAGTACCGGTACCGGACGTGTACCGAAAATCCAAAAATCTGCCGGTACGGTACTACCGTCAGTACCGGTCCGGTACTGACGGTAGTACCGTGGTAGTACCGAACCTAGTACTACACCATCTCATAATATCTCATAACACATCTCATAATGTACATAGGCTTATTTAAAAAAGGCATCGACTAGGAAGACTAAATTACAAGTATCAATCGTTATATAAAAACGTGTCTTAAATACTAGAAATGCCGTGAACACATTCTAAAAAGGAGCCAAAAAATAAATTAATTAATTTACATGTTGATATCCAAGACAAAATGTTGAATTCTCTTTAGCAATAGAACTAATAGTTCTATAACAACAATTGTCAACAGAAGTGTTATTAAACCACATACAACGAATTGTATGTATAAATGAATTTAAAATAACATTCTTAAAATTTAAAATATAATTTGATAAATATTTAATTTCACTTTTTTATATTCCACAAAATCATAACAAAGTAGAAATTCGGCAAATTTATCACACCCTGCAAGGCTTTGCATTAAAGCATTAAAATAACAAGTATTTCCATGATTTTTCAGTCCTAATTAGTTAAAACTAAATTTATTTTTTATGTCTAAAAACCTCTTAAGCAAGGAATATTTTGTTTATCAACAATGTTTCTTTCCATATTTTGCTTAGTTGATGGGCGTTTTGTTTTTGTAACTATGTAATCCTCATCAGGATATTTTGAATCACCTTTAATTTATAATAATTAAATGAATATTGCCGAATTATACAGAAAGAGTTTGCAAAAATTTAGCCAGCGAACAGGATTGAACCTGCGACCACCTGCTAGTTGTTGCTAGGCGCTTTCGCTCACTATATGCAGGAGCTCTACTTCTGAGCTACCGGGGCATCGACTACCCCCGCCTAAGCGTTTTAAATGCTGCTAGGTGAATCATCCTTACAATAATCATCCTTACAATCCCTAACTTTCTTATAACTTATAACTACATAGACAGAACTGCCTAATAACAAATTTTTATGCTGGAGGTATCTTATATGTATAGGATATTTAAGAAATTCCTCGTTAATAAATAAAAAAATTTTATAGCTCTAAGACAGTATCTTATTGTGAGATTCACAGTATTATATTAATTTCACAGACCTTTTTCAGGAACACCTGATTTTGGAACTAAATCTTTCTCAGGATTATTTTGTTTATAAGAGCGTAATTTGGATTTGGGATTTTCAATCTCTTGAGGATTTATCACATTAGACGAGTTTGAATCAAAAATTGTTTCATTGTTATTTATTTTATTAGAATGAGTTGTTTCTATTGTGGAAGGACGTTCATTATTAAAAGAATTATTTGTTGTCTCTCGATTATAATTGGACGAATATTCTGTTTGATAATTCGAAGAAATATTCATCTCTTCGTTAGAGTCATTTGTTGGTGTAATTAGTTTTGAACGAGTGTCTACATTATTAACTAGTCGTGAATTTATATTAAGCAAGTCGAGTTTAAATTATACATTTTAGGGGCGGTATTAAAACATGAATTATCCGTAGGATGGTAGGCATGAAACTTATTTTTAGTTGAACTTATTTTAGTAGAGTAAAAAATGTTTTAATTCTGTTCCTATTTTAAAATTTTCCTCTGGCTTGATTTTGTAAAACGTGTTAAAACTAAATTGTCTAAATACAAATATTTTTTAAATGGGTGTGCCGAAAGCGTTGATTAATATTGAGTAACCCAGTATATTAATATTGAATAAAATAAAAATTTACTATTTGAACTATTCGATCCATTATAACTATGATTAATATTGTTTATGTTGGAAAAATTTGAATTGTATGTTGAATAATTATTCGAATTTGGATATACAGAAAGAAAATAAGCAATATATGCCCTTTTCCAATCCTCATAACTTTTAAATTCTGAAGGCGAAGGACGTGTAATATTATTTCCGATCTGGTTTAAAATCCTGAATGTTTATTTACAGTAATCATAAAACCGGAAATAACATATCTTCCAAAAGCCTTCAAAAAATCTTAGTTTATATTGTTATGATATCCATTTTTATTAATCTATTCGTAATTTAAAAAATTACTTAATAAAAAATTATAAATGAAATAAAAAATATTAATACAGCTAAATTTTACAACTATAAATTATAATTACGGGCTTAAATATACGGTATCTTATGGATATCATAAACAAAGTATATCGCTTAAGCAGCTCTAAACCAGAGATCGGTCAGAAATGACGAAGGTGCCGGAACTCGGAACTGTCGGAAATCATCCTAAATTTTCAAAAATCGAAAGTCGGAAGTGCCAAACGACAAAATGTCAAAGAAAAAATGCCCGAATGGTAAAAATAATATAACTAATATTAATGAATGCTTGAACTTTAATTTAAGTAAAAAAATTAAAAAAATGATGCTTGTACAGATATGAATTTTAATTTAAAATAATGCAAATTATTCTCAGTAAATTACCTCTCTGAAAAAATATTATTTGTAAGGTCAACATTAAATAATAAAAATGTGAAAGAAGCAATAAAAAATGAACTTTTCTGAATAAATAAAGGAAAAATGCATAGGTCAACTTTTTTCTTAAAAATGTTGACCTACATATTCGTGCTGTTTATTATCAGTCAAAAACTTCAATAGGGGCAATATTATTACTAGGGTGTACATTTATATGGAAATCCATATTTTTTTCCTGAATTCTTATGACTGTGAAATGCACGAAAAACATGTTCAGTTTGGACTTTCTAAAACTGGGTAGAAAAATCTAAGACACCGAAAATGTATTTTGTCTCTGATGTTAATCTTTTCCCAATTAATTTTTAGATTTAAAGCAGTTTTTATACTAAAAAATATCTAAAATTTATAATGGAAATAAATGCTTATATTGAATCTGATAATGACGGTTCAGAGGTATTATTCTGAAAAATACATAGATTTATTAATGATTAATTTAAAGTCTGATGACTCTTTGCAACAAACTTCGACGGCTCTGCCTCAACAAGAAACTTCGGCCACGCTGAATTCATCGGCTTTGCCGAATTCAGAGTTCTTTCTTAATATTTCCGAATTACAAGTTACAATGAAGGGTTTGTTTTCTATTATTTTTTGTTAAAAAAATATATTTAAAATGGGTAATCATAAAGAATCTGGAGAGATATACTCGCAGAGATATAGACCCCCGAAAATCGAAAAATCATAGGGGGAAGTTAGGTCGATTTTGCGATAAATAATCCGATTATACAAATTATAGCTCATTCGAAAGAGTTCCTCGAGCTGAGTCGAATGACACCAAAATGAGCTCGATTGAATGATTCTGAACAAAGTTATGACCAACAGAATCATAGCTGGAAATCAAGTATATGATAAAAAAATCATAGATAAAATGTCATTTTAGGCAAAATCTGTTATCGGATTCGTGAGCAGAATAGTCGGTTACCTATATAAAATGATTTTCAGATTCTTCATGATTACCTTAAAAGGAATTTTAAAGAAAATATTTCAATTTTTTTCTATTTTGTTACCCCAACTTAATACAAATGTTTTAGATGCTGCTGATTGCATTTATATTGTTCGTCACGTGTTTGGGGATAATGCAATGATCGGAATAATAGATTTTTTACGATGCATAAATTTAAATTTTAAAGATTTTGAAGATATATCCGAAAATTTAACTACTAAAAGAATGCCTAATTATGAGTAATTAATTTATATTTTAATTCATTAAACGGCGCGCTTTGGATTCGTCACCTTTTGATTCGTCCCATCTCAAAATGTCCAACAAAGTAAAAATACTCAATTTATCGAACTAAAAATTAAAAATGGAGAATCTTAATTAAATGATATTCATCTTGGATAAACGTCAAAAAATAATTGAATCTCCAGTAAAAAACTATTCCAAATTTCCAGACTCCGGTAGAATTTACTCGAATACGGGAAAAAATCAAAATCTCCTTGTCCGTCCTCCTTGAGAAAGTTCAGTGATCGGATGGATGCTAAGTGCTCGGAAAATAGCTCTAAAGAGTATCCGGTAGTCAACTCCTATGTTTATCAAAGTTTTTTGCCAATTATTAATCCAGTGGGACGAAAGAAAAGTTGGCCCTATCCTAAAAAGAGGGCGCCTTGATTATTTTCATCATTTTTTTCCAACCTTAATATATAAATAATTCAGTCTTTTCTTCCTCATTCAATTCCACTCTTTTTACCTTTGGCATATTCAATTGAGAGGACAGAAAAGCACATACACTACAGACAAATCACGGACGGACACAAACAAACTTGTTTTGTCTGTCCGTGCTCGTCCATGTTTTGTCAGTCCGTGTTCGTCCGTGCTTTGTCTGACCGTGCTCGTTCGTGTTCATCCGGTTTCGTCCGTGCACGGATGAAACCGGATGAACACGGACGAGCACGGATGAAACCGGATGCACACGGACAAAACCGGATGAACACAGACGAGCACGGACAGACAAAACAAGTTTGTGTGTGTCCGTCCGTGTTTTGTCTGTCCGTGAGTGTGTCTATCCGTGAGTGTGTCCTCTCAATTGAATATGCCAAAGGTAAAAAGAGTGGAATTGAATGAGGAAGAAAAGACTGACCATTATTTATATATTAAGGTTGGAAAAAATGATGAAAAAAAATCAAGGCGCCCTCTTTTTAGGATAGGGTCGAAAAGTTTATGTTCAAGGGGACGAATCCAAAGTGGGACGAAACCAAGCGCAGCCTACACACCCCATTTATTTGCAAGCTCAAAATAGTGAGGTATTGGTCTGCAAAAGGTCTGCAAAACGCTTGTGCATAATTCCCCGCATCATGCGGGGCTATGCGGCACGCGTCTCGCAAGAGTAGTCAATTCGCCTAATAAATGAGGGTGTATTTCGCGAATAAATGTGGTTTGTACCCAAAATGCATAAATTCCTTAATTGTTTTTATTTTTCTTTTTCAGGTCATACGCCTTTTGTTTTAAGAGAAAGATGCTCTACGTTATTACACCGATTAAGATTAAGAAAAAATTGAATAATGAGTGTATTAAGCATAAAGGGTTTATCACGATCCTTCCCTCAACACTTGCGGATTCGCCTATTTTTGCAACAGCGGAATTGTCGCATTATAATACCGAAGATTTAAGTATTATCGATGATTTAATTGGTAGATATTGTGAAATATATTTTCAGTTTTTAGTATATTTTAATCATTTAAGGGATGATTTTTGTGTTTTACCGACGTCATATGAATTGCTTTTTTGCTTATTGCTCAACGGCTATAACTTTAATTCTTTTATCATCGGCATTGCCGAATTCATCAAATTTGCCGATATTGCGTTTTCTTAGTATGGCGGAGACAAAATTGGTTTTCGACTCAAAAGAAAGGGTAAAGCAATTAAATTAGGGGTAATAGTTTGGTTCGTATACCCTACTTTTTTTTCTTTAAGTATTAAAAAATGGACAGTCAGTCATAGTTTGTAGAACTCGTTGAGCTGTGTCGAATGACATCAAAATCAACCCGCTGTCTTAACTTCGGCTCGAGATATAGACTCTCAAAAAGTGAACAACTACTATGGGTGGCCAAGCTAATTTTTGGGCTAATAATTCGTTTAATCAAATAATAGCTCATTCGAAAGCTTACCGAGCTGATTCGAATGACATCAAAATTTCGATCGGGACGGGGGTTACCGGGTTACTTATTTATTGTCTCGGGTTACCCGATACCCGAAACCCGGACTTTTTTTCGACCCGAAACCCGACCCGAGAAATTTTCGAAAACCCGACCCGAAACCCGACATTTTCCTTGGAATTTTATTACAAAAATGGAAAATTTGTCAGCTCTTTGGTCTTCCAAAATTTTCAAAATTTTCGCCTGCGGCGCTGAAAAATGAAGAAATCTAGTGGGTTGTTCTTTAAAGATTCTCAAAATTTTCGCCTGCGGCGCTGGAAAAGGAAGAAATTTTGTGGACTGGTCTTCCAAAATTCTTAAAATTTTCGCCTGCGGCGCTAAGAAATGTTGCCGAATTTAAGCACGAGTTTTAAGTAGCAAGATGGTTTATGGAGGTATCTTCGGGGGAAGATAGAAAAAATCGAAAATTAAAAAATGTGGGCGAGATATCGAAGGTGACATTTTCCATTGGGATTTTTACCATAAAAAGGAGAATTCTGGCCTCATGGCCTTCCGAAACTTGCAAAATTTTCGCCTGCGGCGCTAAAAAAGGAAGAAAACTGTAACTAAATACAGAGTAATTTTGCCGTGATGTCGAAGGAGCAAAAGTGGATGAAGGGTGATATGGTGTACGGAATTTTGGTCACCGGAATTTTGGTCACCACGATTTTTCGGAACTCTGGTCACCAATTTTTTTGGAATTTTGGTCACCAGCGGAATTTTGGTCACCAAGTCAAAAAACGGAATATTGG